TTTCAATTGAACATGTTTCCATATGTAAAAGACACTTGATGTCATATCTAGATATTATGTATCAATAAAGATTCACATCGATGCATGTTCACCTTAAAAAAAAAAAAAAAAAAAAAAAAAAAAACTTTAGAATCAATACAAGAATATAAAGAATTTTATTATGAACTTATTTGAAATCTTATTAATTTTACTAATAATACTGATAATATTTAACTAAGAAATATGCCAGAAAAGAAAAAATAAAATAAATAAAATAAACAAGAGTAACTAAAAATTTTGAACTTTCAAATTAACAATTAAAGTTTGAAAATCACTTTGTAATATAAAAAAAATAATGAGAAATATATTAATAGTACTCTTGACTAACAAATAAAAAAAAATTAGATATGGATTATAAATTATCAAATCAAAATAATTTTTGATATATAACATGTAATATAGCTTATTGTTATAATGCAAATCAGAATTGTTTTTTAGATTTTTATATCAAAAAATAAAGTAAGACTTTAATAATTATTTTTATTTGATTTTTATATATTAAATATATATATATATAAAATTTTTCAGTATTTGAATATATAGTACTTAAAAAACAATTTTATTTTAGATTTACAATATGATATTTATTTATATTATATGATTAATACTTTTGATCTGAATTATATGCTATATATTATATTACTTTTTTGAAATACACTATATAATACAAGCCTTGAAAACTTATTTTAGCCAATTTATACAAATTTTATATAAAAAATTTTTTTTATTATTACTTTTTTCTTACTAATTTAAATATACAAATTTGTATGCTTAAATCTATGATTTGAAAGATAATAAAAAACAATATTTTATTTTATTTAATTTTGTTATTAATTGTAAAAAGATTTTTTGCTTTAAATAATATATTAATAAATACTTTTTTACTATTGAAAAGATTAATAAAGCAGGTTAACAATAAGAATTAAACAATTGATTTTTTTCAAGAATTTTTTAAAAATAATTATAATTATTTTTTTTGATTTTTTTTATAAGCAAATAAGTATTGGATGCACGATTTTTATTAAACATAGTTTAAGATCATATAATTATTTTTAAATATAAATTTAGATAATATTGTTTTTAATTATTAAAAACATATTTTGAATTTTCTTATTAATTATAATATAAAAATTTTATTTGTTAGATAATTGATTTTTATTAAATATAATTTTTAATAAAGTAATATACAGTATTTGTTTCCTACTTATAATATTCAATAAAGATCGTGTGAATGTCTTACTTAAAAAATTTTTTATTTATAAATTGAATACGTTATATGATATACAATGCATTAGCGTGAGAATATTAGTTTTATTTCTCGTTTCTAGAATAACAAATGGGTTAACTTTTTTTTTTTTACAAGTCCCTATTTTTCGGCCTTCTAGCCATTCTTTCATATTTTCCTATGTACTTGAGTAATCATGGTTCCAGAATAATTTAAAGTACTAAATCAGTGTGCTTATACTATTAATAGTTTGCAGAATCAATTCTAGTTGTTCTCATCAATATAATGAAACTTTTTTCTGTTTCTCGCGCAAAGATTTAGTATGATTTTTTCAGTGCCAGTATTAAATCAATTTTTATGATTTTTTTAGACAAAAAAATAATCTCGATGAATCAATCTGGTTTATTAAAGTTTCTTGAATCATGGCAAACCTCACATTTTTGAAAGACCTCACATTTTATATAGAATACCGCATAAGAAATTTGAAGTTTCATTATTATATTTTTGGGTGCTCTCCTCAGATGCCAAATCTTCTTTCTCCTGATTCTCCATTTAAGTTAAAAAATTACGTGATACTTTCAGATCTATCCCTAATCTAGTAATGCATATTTATTTAAAACATCATTAGCTAAAAGAAACAAGCGCAAAAGTAACGTGAGTTATACAAAGATTCTGCATAACAATAGAAGTTATTTGATGACTCGAATCATCCCATTAATTCTGTCCGATCTCCTTTCATATTAATTTTTATTTATAGTTCGAGATGATGTTAACGATTTTAAGTATATGTTGTGATTTTTTGATCGAAATCCATTATTCGAAAAGAAGCTTTCATTCGGTTATAAATTTGCAATCTCACCCACTTCCTTGAATTTTTTTCTGAGTTTACGTTTCTTTAACTTTTTTCATTACACATATTTAACATAACTTGCCAGTCGCCTATACGCAAAACTTGATCATTCACAATGTCTATCGAAGATGGAAAACAATACATCCAGCCAAAAATCGCTAATCCTGCACCACTTGGTATATCTATAATTTGTTTTGAAATTTAGTTTAATTTTCGTTAATTGATCTTTAGTTCTCACAATACATGACAATCAGGTCTCTCAGCTTTCGCAATGACTACGTTTATATTATCAATTAGCAATGTCGGCACACCAAATGTTACAGCGCCAAATATTGTCATCGGTTTGGCTTTATTCTATGGTGGTTTTGTTCAGATATTGGCCGGTATGTGGGAGTT